TGACTGGCAAGAGCCCTCCAGCTATTAAGGGCATCTACCTCCAACTGTACCTGCATACGGCCCACGACATCATTGAGAATCACAGCCATCTGGCACACCAACTAATCTGCTTGTTTCCCATTAAAGAACAGTCTTTCTTATCAACCAAGTGTTTGGTCAAGTGTTAATCTCATTGTCATCTTCAAGTTTGGACAGAAATGATCTGACACTTTACTGCAATGCAATGTGCATGCCAGGTTAAATAATCCCACTGGCACTACTGCGTACACTTGTCACTGCGCAATTTCTCATGTGTAGTAACGCTGCATACTGCACGCCTATAATTTTAAGAATGTGTATCCATTTATGACTTTTAAAAATTCTATTTCTGACTCTAATAGTATTTTAATTTTAAATTTAAATTGATTTAGTGTTGTTTATTTTTTTTTAAAATCTTGTTAAATTTTTAGATGCTTGGTGACTTTTTTCCCTCATCTTGTTAAGCACATTTCATTGTAATGTTGACTCCGTGTTAAGCTCGACTTACAATGCACCCAATTGGATAGAATTACTTATCATCATGCTCATTTTTGTTTGTTTTCAATTTGACTTTTCCTGATTAAAGTTAATGCTTAAGTGGAATAAACCAAGCCTGGAATGAACAAGCTTGAAAGAAAACATGTAAAGACTTACATGCACAGCCCTTTTAAATTTTGTTTACTTGACACTGCCAATTTTTTGCTAAGTGTAGGCTTTTTTGAACCACTCCTTTTCTTTCTCAGGTCTTCCTATACAAGGGAGAGTTGCATATCCTTCCCTGCCCATCTAAATCCACTTCAGTGGGCTTTTCAAAAGATGTGGTACCCAGTGTGGCACAAGCTCTGGAGCTACTTTACACCCACCCAGAAGTCTGTCGGGCAAGCTCCAAGATTTCTTTAGCACTGAAGAAGAGACTAGAGGGGTAAGAGGGATTCCACATATAATCAATATTCAGTATTCAAAAGCAACATCATGATAAATACTACTGACAAAGTAACTCTGCATGCGTCAACTGGCACTCAGCCTATTTCAGTTACATAGTTTCCTTAGGGATAAATAGAGCATTCTGATTCTGTGGTTTCCAGCTGCATAGACAGGGAGAGCACTGGCTACATGATATTGGCTATTTAAAACATCAGAATACAGGGTGCTGAATCACTGTTGTGTACTAGAGGAATACAGTTTTGTAACATATTCTTTTTCTTTCCCCTCAGGTATCCAGGGAAGATTAAATCTGGCCTCCACTGTGCCCACTGCTTCATACCTGCAGGTATTGCCACTGTGTTGGCACAGCGACCAGACCTCATTGCACCTGCAGTTTCAGCATTCTACCTGCGGGATCCAGTAGATTTGCAGGCGTGTCGAACCTTCAAGACGTTTCCTCCTGATACACGAGTCCTCACTTTGGTAAATACATCCATGTATATCTGTACTTTTTAAAAGGTAATATCTTTGTTCAGAACTGTTCTGTGTTGTTTTATAAATGCTTATTTTATGTACAGGACTGTAATTAGTGATTTGTATTTATTTATTTTTTGGGAGGGCGTCTGTTTCCCCTAACCTTGAATAAATATTTTCAGGTGACGTTCACCCGGTGCCTGTATGCCCAGCTCCAGCAGCAACAGTTCACCCCAGACCGGAGGAGTGGTTTCACCTTACCTCCTCGTTCTCATTCCCAATACAAGGCTCATGAGCTTGGCTTGAAGCTGGTGATTCATTATCTATCTTTGTACTTCGTACTTTGTACTGCAGATAACAGGGTTGTTTTATTATGTAAAAGTCATAATCTTGTGCTCATGCTGTACTCCCAGGCCCACGGCTTTGAGATCCTGTGCTCTAGGTGCAGACTGCCTTCATCAGAGCCTAATGCCCCAGTCAGTTGTAACCCACAGTGGAAAGGCTTTATGGAGAGTTTGAGTAGGAATGGCTACTTCCATGTATGTCACTTTTTTTCATGCATGCACTTTCATGCATTTATCTTTGGAGCGCATTTTTAAAAAATGTGTTTGCACTGTTGTCAAATGCAGGGAGAACTGGAAGGTTCAGCACGTTACAGAGAACTTACAAGATCAGCAGAAAACTTCTTCAAACAGTCGGTTGCCTCAAAATCAAGGTAAAGACTTAAGCTGTTCACAGTGTGAATATGTATGCCAATGTCATCTAAGATATCTATTTGAATGAACCTTTTGTGTGTGTGTGTTGCCTCAGTGCTTTGTCCCCAGGTGAGGAGGTTCTCCAGCTGCTGCACAGCTGCGAACCATTCAACTTGGAGGAGATGAAGAAAAATGAGTCACAGCTCCCCCAAGAGGACAGTGAGTGAAATTCATGTCTAGAAACGGGCAAAATCTTATTTAAATAATGTGTGAGTGTAAATAATTGTCTTTCTTAATACTGAAAGACATTAGTCACATTTGCCAAGTGATCCATGAAGGCACAATGTGGGGATACTTAATTTAGACCTCAGTTAAGTGTAATTTTCCTAGCTAGGGTAAGAACACCTGTCTGTCTCTGGAAGATTTGTATGTTAGTTGTTAAGCATTGTAACTTTTATATGACCTTGCTAGAAAGTGAGCATTGCCTTTGTCTATCTCAGCCACCTAAGATTCTTTGCCTTGTGCCAGTTTCTTTCAGTGTCTGTCCTTTTGTTATGCTTCCCTCATTTTCTCCATTTTTTTCTTACGGACATTTCCCATAATTAGTTTTTCTCTTTGTCAACCGCCAGGTGATAGCTGGCTGGATATCACAGCTCAGGATTTGGAGCAGCTGTTGCAGGAGAGAAGTGGGGGTAGAGCTGATGTTGGCAGCCAAAACTTGAGTTCCACCAAACAGAAACAGCATGCCGGGGATACAGAGGAGAGGGGAAAGGAGAAGGAGGACAACTTAGAGGAAGAGGAAGCTGGTTACAGCCTGGTAGCTATCAGTCAAGGGATGAAGAACTTTCTCAAGGCCATGTCTTCGCATGAAGGTGCAGAACTGCCCTGGTGAGACTAAGTGACTTTGTAATCTTGTTGATTTTTGTTCATATTTAGCCAAAAATATATCAGATTTTAATATCCATATGGATGTAGTATGAGCATAGTTTTCCCTTAATGGTCTCCCTGAGCTGTAAATTGGTATGTGTATATTCTTGCAAGCCTAATTTATTTAGGCCTACATTGTCATACTGACAGTCTTTTTCCATTTCTATTCCAGGAGCAGTGCAACCCAGCCTTTTAATATTGATCCAGACTCAATGGCCAATGCACTGGGAAGACTACTTGGTATGTAATTTGCCAACAGTGAAATATGTGGTATGAACTTGATACAATTTTGTTTTTAAAATCATTAATGAATTTGTCTTTTTTTTTTCTTTCTTTCTAGGAGGCAAAGACGAAGAGCTGGATTCAGATGATCTTGATGATTCTGATAATGATGATGATGAGGAGGAGGTAGAAGAGAAAGAAGATGGCTTCTGTGGTCAAGCAGAGATGAAAGGAACAGAAACTCTGGACAGTCTCAAAAGATATATGGACCAAATGGATGAGGAATTGATGAAGACTAATGTAGGACAAAGCTTCAAGCGAACGGTAAACTCTCGTAACACGCCTTCCTTTGCTAAGATAAAAACTATTCAAAAGATATGCGCAGGACACAGGTGTCACCCTAAACCTATCTTTATCGTATCTGCAGAATTACAACAAGGCAGGAGCAAGCGGCGACTCCTCTCACCCTTCTGCCAGAGATGATCTCCCAAGGGATAACAAACTGGAGGAGAAAGAGGAGGAGATCGAGCCCTTAGATGTGGATGTCAATTTGGTCACAAACTTGCTGGAGTCCCTCAGCTCCCAGGCTGGGCTGGCAGGACCAGCTTCCAATCTGCTGCAGAGCTTGGGCATACATCTACCACCCAACTCTGATCCCGCATAAAGGGCAGGAAGTAGAATCAAATAATTTATATGTGTCATTTGACCTAATGAGATGTGGGAAGTTAACAGCACAGGAAAGACCAGCAGCTAAATAAATAAACACCAGACACAGTGTGCTTGAGGGAAGCACTGAAATTACTTGTAACACAGATGAAGTTAATATTTAAAAAAAAAACTTAAATTCATCTGTTTGAAATTACAGTTAACTGAAAGTGAGATTTTGCAGCAAATGAGCATTTTTATCAGGTTAACTGTAAAATTTTAATACCTGTTGCTTTGTGTCATTGTTGCATGCACTTATGGTGGTTTTTGTTCTACTACAAAAAATATTTTTCTAAATAAAGCCATTTTTCATTCTTATTTTTTATTCAAATTGTCAGCATAATTCACATTTTCTTAGCATATTCAAGTGTAATTTTAAAAAATGATGCATATAAACATTTTCCAAAAAGCTCAAGAATGACTAGGAAGCAATTTGGCTTCTAATAAAAATGTGAAATACTCAATTACAACAAAAAGAACAGCAGCACTAGAGTGAGTGTTCAGCTCTTTCCACATGTGAACCCCCTTCTCATCTGGCATCTCTGCAGTCAGATTCATTCAAGGGCAACTTTTGTCTGTCTCTGGTTAAGTATTAATTCAGTTAACTAAGCGAATTTAAATTGCTAACTTGTTTTATGATGTTAACTATCTGTCAACATTCTGTCATTGTCATCCCTTTTCCTCTGAAAGCTATCAGGGTCATACGAGGACTACTTCTAGGGATGTTCAGCACATCCGCTGATAAGAGCTCTCAGAAATTACTGTCATAAAATAGGAAATGATTCACATTTATTTTGTTTGTTTATTTGTACATAAGAGAAATTCAGCTTGTTGATAGTTGCTTAATACTTCAGCTTCATGTCTGAAAGAAAAATTGTAATGTTTGACCCCTGACGCTTAACTGTTTCATTAATAAATACCTAGCTTGTAAACTATTTTCCATTAGTGCCACTGATTTAGAAAGTGCGAGCAACAGCACTCATGTTGCTCACGCTGCAGAAAGTCACAAGTAGCTAGGGCATGTATCGTCTTAATAACATATTAAAAGAATAAGATAAAAACTTGTGATGACACATAATTACTAACCGTATATCGTTAGTGTGCCACCATAGCCTGCATTTTGTCTTTTATAACTTTGTAATGTGAGTGGATATTGACTGATAAGGGATGAATAAAGCTAGTATCTACAGGTATAACACTTTGGTTAGGGTCAGTGGAGTGCAAGACGACCTACTAAATCTTTTAGTCCTTTACAGAAGCTGAAAAAATGGCTGAACTATGTACCTCACTGAGTGGAGCAGTGCAGCAGCAAGGGGTGAGACACAAAGAGCCACTACACCGACCAGGAAGCTCAGCACCATTCCCAGCAGGAGAATAGCAAGCAGGTATCCATGGAAGAGCAGGCTGCGCCAGTTGGCCTGACTCAACACATGCCAGGGACGCTCTGGGTGCAGACACCACAGGAGGCCCAACACCCAGCTCTGGTTCACCAGCTGTGTATAGTAGATGTCAAAAACAGAGGCTTGGGAATCTGGAGGGTGGCTGCGCTCCATCTCAGACACTTTAGCAAGCCAAGTCAGAGACAGGCTGTGCAGGATTAAAGCCAGAGGTCCATATATATACTCCAGAGGCACAATACTTAAGAGACCCTCAGATGCTGCAGACAGACAGAAAGAGAAAACTAATTAGAGATTCATTTACTCTAATATGTGAAACCCTCATCTGATATCCAAACTTTTACCTGTGATGATCACAGAGGTCCCACTGATGATGAAAGTCAGAGCAGTGATGTGGCTTGCTGGTGAGGATGCCAGCTTCAAGGCAAAACTAAAGGCCACAGTCACCAGGGGCAGCAGAAGCACCATGAGGACGAAGAGGTTGGAAGATGAGCTGCTGGCTCTGGCCCACATGGTCAGCACTGCTTGAATGCTGCTACAGATAGCAGACGGCAGCATCCTCTCACCCAGGGACCTTGAATAACTCCTTAGATGCACCAGATCCAGGGCATGCAGGAGATTTAAGAATAAGAGAGACACCAGAACCTGAAAAGACAGAATATAAAAAAATAAACAATTATCTAACTTTAAAAAAGCCCACATGTGGTTATGTGAATCACTCATTTTTAATGATAGGAACTGGAGGGTCATGTGCCTGGCGGGACTGTCGATCGAGGACGCTGAAGATATCTACCTATTCGGAATCATGATAACAGGGTTCTTGTTGATTGGAGCTGGCATGGCCCCGACTTATCGGAGAAATAAGAGAGCGGAACCGGCTGTTCAAACCTCCCCAAAGCTGCCCGCTGGAATCAAAGCAATAGGACGAGACGCTACCTCTCACAACGAACGCAGTGTGGTTAACACCTTGGAGACGCTTACAGCTGCCGTGAAGACTCAAAACAACACCATTGAGCGTATGTTGGGATACATCAAAGAGAGGCCTGCTCAAAATGAGACCCTTGAGCTGGATCACATTGCAGAACGGCTCACTGCAGTTGTGGGGTCTCAGAATCAAAAGAATGATAACACCATGGAACAGAAGTTTGATACCATCATGGGGAGGCTTGCGGCTCTCCAACCGGAGATTGAGAGACCAGTGTCGGAGTGTTAAGAACAGCTTGAAATTCTTCTCTTCTTAGCTGCTCGCATAAAAAGAAAATTGACAACATCAACATGCGGACACCACAGCGCCAGCTGGGGCTGGAACCGAACAAAAACTCCCTGATAACGACTGTGTGATGACTATTCTTCCCATCCCATGCAAGGCCACCTGGATTGGCTAGCAGACTGTTTACTTAGCCTGATAGGGCGAAGGACACTGTCTCAGCTGAACTATGGACACGCACACACATACACTTACACTGGTAAGCACTCACACATTTCCCTTCCCCTTCCAATGCCTTCAATGCTTGTTGCCTCCTGGGAACACGAGGCGGGTCTGGGCCCGCGCTGGAGAGTCGGCGCAGTGGCAGGATGTCTGCTGTGTTGCCCTTTCCTTACCTTATATATTATTTGCACTGTTTTAAACTTCACCAGATCCTGGAATTTTATAGCTTGCGTCCTAATAAAGAGTGCATTTGTGTGAGCCCTATACCCCTCCTGATTTATTAGTCTAATGGCCCTTTTCTGCATTATGATTATAGTCTGAATATTACTTTTATATGTATTTCCCCAAACCTCTACACAATAACTCATGTATGGTAATAGTAAAGCACAATATAACATATACAATGTTTTCCTATCCAGAAACTGTTTTACTTTCCCCAAGACAGCAATGCCCCGTGCTAACTTTCCCCTCACATAAGTGATGTGTGATTTCCAACAGGCCTTTTGATCAATGATCACACCAAGAAATTTTATGGCATTAACCCTTTCTAGATATATATTATCGACACAAATTTCAATGTTAATGTTTTTCTTATAGTTTCCGAATAACATAAATGTTGTTTTATTTAAATTTAAGGACAATTTGTTTCTATCAAACCACTTCTTTAATATCTTTAACTCCTGTGTGATCACCTCCAAAACCTGTTGAAATTCCGCACCTGAACAAAGTATATTGGTATCATCTGCAAAAATTACAAACTTTAGTATCTTCGATACTTTACAAATATCATTTATATACATAATAAACATTTTCGAACCTAATACCGATCCTTGAGGTACACCACATTCAATATCCATCATTTTAGATTTAAACTCATTTATTTGTACATATTGCTGTCGATTCATCACATAGCTGTTTATTCAATCCAGTACCACACCCCTGAACCCATATTTTTCCAGTTTGATTTTTAGAATTTCGTGGTCAACAGTATCAAATGCTTTTTTTTAGATCTAGAAAGACTCCAAGTGCATACTTCTTGTTATCCATACATTCTGTTATTTCTTCCATTAAATCCATCAATGCCAAAACTGTTGATCTATTATTTCTAAACCCATACTGGCAATTTGCCAACAAATCATGTTTATCCACAAAGCTATCAAATCTTTTTAGAAATAGTTTTTCCAGTATCTTAGAAAACTGGGAGAGTACCGACACTGGTCTATAATTTGTAAAACAATGCTTTTCACCTGATTTATAAATAGGAATAACTTTTGCAACTTTCATTTTTTGTGGAAAAACCCCTTCCTGGAAAGACAAATTAAAAATATATTGTAGTGGTTTTACAATACCATCAATTACTCTCTTTACCGTTACCATATCAATATCATGACAGTCATTTCAGTGTTTTTTCTGTAATGCAACCGTTCTCTGACTTGTATCCCCATGTGATGTCTGTGTTGTATGTGTAAGGTCGGGGGGCGGGTTCATTCCACTGCAGGGTAACCTGCCACTGCATGTGGCGAATAAATTTTGAACTTGAACTTGAACATTTACTTCAATTCATGTGGCTAAGGCATGTTAACACAAACCGGAATGTGTGAAAGGTAGTAACGTTTACAGCTGAGACTGAGTGAGTGCCTCTTCATCAGCAATTGCCTGCAGGGTCAATTTGGGTCATAATTTTGAACTAGTCCTGACAAAAGGGAACAGAGTTCACATCTACTTAAAAAAATAATAATAATATTTTAAGCAAAAGTCAAACAATGAAAAAGTAATAAAAAAAATCAATATTTTAATTAATATTGTACAACATCATCATCATTTCTGTTTTTGACAGCACACTTAATCATTTCAATGTTGCCACTTTAGAGCCTGTAAATATTGTGATGGATTTCTATCGAACATGTTAGCAAGTAAATGAGTTAACTGTAGAGATATTAAACACTATTACACTATGAACTAATAGTGAAATAAATGCTTATGTCATTTCATGCTCAAGCAGCTGTAGTTTATTGGGTGGGTAATACATTACAATTAGCCATTCTTTGCACAATAATATTTTACACTCGGGGGCACTTCATTAGTTCAGCTGGTGGTTAATAAGAGCTCAGTCCAACGGAGCAGCTTTAGGATGTGGTGAAACAGGATTGATGTGCGATGTGATCATGTCAATATGAAACAAAATCTCAGAGGACTGTTTCCAGCACCTTGTTGAATCCGTCCAACAAACAATGAAGTCTGGAATGCAAAGGGTAGTCTAGCCTGGTACTAGCAAGGTGTACCTAATGAAGTGTGAGCATATGCTGTTGACTTTTCACTAACACATCCTGATTTCTGCATTCTTGAATTTATGATAAATATGCTGCAACATACCTACACATTTACTATTCTTCTGAAGGACCTCATAAACAAAATGCATATAAAGCGGGTCATATGGATAAGACGTGGACTAAACTCAACCGGTCCTGTGACTCATTTTCAGTTGTTACGGGCAATGTTAGCTTGTGGACCATACTATACTGTGCTATACTGACCATTTAGTCAGTATAGCACCTCTCCTATATATCAGCAGTTGAGGTCAAAGCTGGACACCCAAAAGTTAATTCCACCTTTGTACAGCGTCACACTTGCATCTGAGTTTATTGGGCAATAATTTGGTTAAACATCTATCCTGCACACGTGTTTTCAGCAATAACGTCCTTCTGTCACTTCCCTCTACGTCTGCTTTCACCTTTAAACTAGCACAAACAGCAATTACTGATAGAATTTCACTGACCACCACAGCTGACGGCACAAATGATTAACAACAATCCAATGATTAAGCTTACATTTTGAAAGACCATTTGAATGTTTGTTATAACTTCCTACGTTTTTCTTTTGCAATATGTAACTTCATTATTTGCCTTGATGTTGGCAAAGCTATTATAAATGCACCTGTAATTGAAGCAAAAGCAAATACCCTGCGGTCAAGAAACAGAGCTTTGTGTAAACTAAAAAGCATTTGAGTGGCCTCACATGACCTTTTTTCTCACTTATATAAATTACTATTTATACTAATTTGTAAAAAGGTATTTTTGACCTTATCCTTTCTAATCAGAGTTTGGTTGTGTCCAAAAGAAGAAAATCCAAAAGTTGCAGACACCAACCTGGGCAAAGCTGAGGGCCACAGGATACGGGTAGCGATACTGAGGGATAAAAATGGAAGCCACAAAGTTTCTGAGTTTGTCGCCCAGACCATATATCACCACAACCAGCAGGACCAGACTGGCAACCAGGGGCTTCAGCGCATGATGCGCTGAAAGACACCTTACAGCCGAGGCATATCTCGTCCTCCATCTCCCTGAACTGTGCACAAGAGACATAAACCATAAAGTCACACTGATAACAATGAACTTATAAAATGGTTTTTTTTCTTTTTGTTCTGAGTTTAATGTTTTAAAAAACTTACATTGGAGGATATATAACCTTTCGTTTGCAATGCAAGTTTGCATTTTAAATGCAACTCCTGACTCTCTTATATGGTTCCCAAGATCCAATATATTAGATTAAATATATATATATATATTAAAAAAAAAAACAGCAACAACAACAACAAAAACAGCATTATCTTTTATCCAAAAGATGTGTGTTTTTTAAATTTATTTATTTTTGTATTTTATTGCAGGATTTCCCACCTGAAGTCCATGTAGTGAGAGCAAACGTTATTTCCTCTCACAACAACCTAACTTTGCTATTTACGGATGATCTCAAACAGTGTTCTAAACATGTATTGTAGTCGGGACAATCACATCACAATTACATACACTGTCTGATTGTTTTGTTGTTCCTTTTCAGTTGTTTATGTTCCGTGTGGCATGTCCGAAAATCGGTGTCTGCTATTGTAGTTTCCTTGTTAACAGTGCGTCCCTTTTAGACCAGAATATTCTTTTTCAATAAAACTCATGTCAATTATGAGTCTGTAAATATACGGCATAATAGTAAAAGTCAAATAAATGATAACATAAAGCGCAGAATAAATATGTATTAAATGTAATAAGACCTCAGAGGACTAGTAGGCGCGTTTAGCTTTAACAGCCTATCAGCAGAACTGAAGCCCGATCATAAAAAGTGCTGCTTTAAAACTTAAAAAGAAAAGAAAGACGTATAGACAAACTATAGCAAAACAAATTTAAAAGGAGCGCAACTCATTTTCTTTTCGGGGGAGGAAAAAAAGCGAGAAACGACATCTACTCACCATTTTGTTGTCGTCATAAAGTCATAGTTCATCTTCAACCTCCAAACCAGCCATTCCGTCTGTGTTGCTGTCACTTCCATTCATTCCTACAACAGCCAGTAATAATGCGATTATATCAATAATAATAATTCATCCTCGTAACGGACACGTATCCCGTCCGCCTTTTATTTTGGTATTTAAATAAATATAGACTTGTAACTTCATTTATGCAGTTTGCTTGAGGTGAAGTAGTACCCTTTGCACCTCCTGCTTTGGCAACTGTTTGTGACATTCCTCTCCGGCTTTTCGTTGGCTAACGACCACATGACCGCCTGTGCAAGGGTGAATTTGCATAAACAGATTCATTAAACTGGGAGGATGCCGCTCTGTACCCTGCTTCTCAGAGTCTACCTGCTGCACTGTGCGCTCTGGGGTTCTTATAACTGTATTGCTATAAACACTAATATGTCTTAAACCATAAATGTTTTATGGTTTAAATGTGTGAAAACTGCTCACATATTCTTCAATGACTTTCAGCAAAGTCATCCTGTTGGTGCTAAATGACTCAAGAGTACACCAGGGGGAAGTCAAACACACCACCTTTTCTCAGTCCACTGTTTCTTTCATTAAAGTAATATAATAGCTGGGTAATTTGTTACTTTTGAAATGAAAACATTACATAAAACATATCCATTATCCCTCCTCTTCACATGCCCAGCATCCCAACCTTCCCTCTCTAACTTTGGCTCTAAAGTGCTCAAAGTGAGCTGTGCCTCTCATGTACTCGTTTCCTTATCTGTCCTGGTCACACCATGCAAACATCTTCAGCTCTGTCACCTCCAGATCAGCCTCCTGTCTTATTGTCACCTTCACCAAACTATACATGATAGCAGGCCTCACTACCATCTGAACCTTCTCTTTTACGCTTGCTGCCATCATTCTGTCTCTAATACTTGTCTTCACCCACGCCATGCTGGTCTCCTAAAAGTGGTCTCAAGACCGGTCTTGGTTTAGGCGGTCTTGACTATAAGTCTACTCTACTCCTCGCAGCTGTCACACGTTTTCTCTCATTCATACACATTCCTTCATTTCCTCTTTTCTTTCTTCCAACTGTCCTGGTTCTCTTCTGTCTATTCTCTACTCTTACTACATATCCCAATGACATCTATGAAGAGTCCACGGAGACTCGTGGAGGACCTCATCTGTCAGTCCGTCCATCACCACCACCACAAACAAGGGGGCTCAGAGCAGATCCCTGGTGTGATTCCACCTCCACCGTGAACCCATCCATCGCTCCTGCTGCACACCTCACCACTTTCTCTCTGTCCTTATGCATACTACGTATTTCTCTGACACTCCTGACTTCCTCATTCAGCAACCAAGTTTCTCTCATCACCATATTATGATCCACAAAGACACAGTGCACCTCCGTCTGACTTTGTCTGTACTTCTCTACCAGCACTCGCAAAGCAAATCCTCACTTCCTCCTTACTAATCCTCTTATACATAGTAATGGAAACAAAAATGCTGCAGTACCACAGCTGACAGACTGTGGTATTGACACATGACAGAAAATGGTCTCTTTCAGTTAAAGTTTGTGTTCTAGCTGTAGTTCTTATAATAATCATTGCTCTGCAAACGGGTACAATACACTGCATGTGGGAAAAAAGAAGCCATCAGGGAAAACTTTAAATGAAATAATAAACATAAAAGAGCTTGATGTTTGAAATACTTAAATGCAGACAACCTAACAAACAAGGGTTTGTATCAGGTTATCTGTGTCATGCAACAAAAAAGGCAATAAAATGTTGTAGACCAGCTGCAATTGGTTCCCTTGTAATGTCCTCGGGATTCCCATACACTTGTTTGCCATACACCTGGGGTCATTTTTGACCTGAGGACAACACAAGGGTTTGCTCAGCTGACAACTAACCATAAAGAGACAAACTTCAAAGGGCAGTGATAAAATGCAAAACTGGATATGTAAACAACCACTGACTAGGGTCAACAAAATGCAGTCTGTGGAGGTTCTTGACAGTAAACACTGAGGGGGGGTGGGAGTATCTTCAATACAGGACAAAGGGTGAGAGGTGGAGAGGCAGTGGCTGAGGTGAAAGTGAAGAGGGAGGAAATTCATATATTACTATGTTACTGTGTTTCCAAGACCACCAGCTGAATTAAGGGCAAGCCTGAAGCAGCGTTGAGAGAGGATTTGTAGCAGCTCTTGTTGGGCTTTTTGAGAGAAATTTGCTGATGTTTATGTGTGTGTGTGTGTGTGTGTGTGTGTGTGTGTGTGTGTGTGTGTGTGTGTGCGCGCGTGCGTGCGTGCGTGCGTGCGTGCGTGCGTGCGTGCGTGCGTGCGTGTGTAGGATGTTCTTCTAGTTAAGGGCTAGAGGGAACAGCTCATGCATTTGCCAAATAACTTAAAGGAAATAGTTGTAGGACCGTCCGGGTAAATGCTGTTGTGTCTGTGTTTGAGCTGTTCTTTTTCCAGGGTATAATATCTTTAAGGTCTTTATAAAAAAGTGTAACCTCCTAAGGTACTTTAACCAAATATTAGTGGGGGAGTATGTATATGTTTGAGGTTGTATATATACTTTTGAGCCCATCTGGATTAGAAAATCAAAAATAAATTTCAATTTGAGGACTTAATTTTTTTTTAAGTCTCTCTATTCTTAAATAAAGATGTATGCTGTAAAATCTTTCCACCCTGAAAAAAAAACAAGACTTCAAAGAAATCATTAAACAGTGTTGGATCAGGTGACCCTGAATCCTCCATTAGTCGTGCTGCGTTTGGACTAGGCTGCTTGGGGATTCCCATAATGCATTGAGTGTTTCTTCCTTAGTCACATTTTTGGTTTGTTCACATATGTGTTCATACACCTCCCCTCATTTAATTATTAATTATAACTAATCCCTGACACTCTCTTCCACAGCATGTCATTAGTCCTGTCTTCCTCCCCTCACCCCTAACCAGTCATGGCCATGGCAGATAGCCACCCCATCTTCCAAAAAGGATTTTTTTTTCTCCTTTCCATAGTCACCAAAGTGCTTTCTTGTGGGATTTCTTATGATTGTTTTCTTTGTATTATTGTTGTGAATTAGCGCTGTGAATTGAATCTCCAACAGAGAGGGTAACTGTACAGACAGTAACCATTCCTCCATCACACCTATCTGGAACAAAAGTAAAACAGGTATATTTATTGCCAGTTCTCTCTGCATGTAGACACTGTAGTCTTTCTATTTCAGTGTGTGAGCCAGAGACCGTGCTGGCTCCTGCTCTTCCAGGAACAGTTTGTGTTGAGTGAGCAACTTTACAATCTTCTGAATGCAGTGGGTGACCAGCCCGCTTTGCATGACCCCTACTATAGTCTTATCCTTGACTGATGCAGTGCAACAGTTAATTAAGAGAATTTTCATTTTAAAGATAAACATGCTAATCTTAAAGATTAACATGGAATAAAGTAATACATAATAATTATGTCTTTATTATGAATAAATATGAGTATTAGGTATAAGGAGCCATTTGGTGATGAAGAGGATGCTGTGATAGTGATACACCTTGAGCTGGGCTGTTTAATCAGCTGCATAGAGCTGCAGAAATATTCCACAATACTACTGTATGCGGAGAATGATGTAGCCCAGGTCACACATGCACATATATACTTTTGCTTATTGTAGCAGTATGGCATTCTAGATGGGAATGTCAAGACTGTATTTGCTAGGCATCAGCATGTTTGTAAAATTAGTGTGAATAGGTTTATTTTGATACCATTGTTTTGAGCTACAGCCTTATTGAATTACCAAGAAAGCCATATATTTATGATGAGGTAAACTTGCTTGTCTCTTTGAATTATGCTGACTGTATCTAGCTGAATCTGCATTTTTGTCTCAAGGTTTCTCACTGCATATTTCAGTGGGTGGTGTAAAGGTCAGGGCCGACTCCCCAGACCTCCAATCCTGATTTTTTTACAGCTCAGTGCTTTAGAAATGGACCTTGTCATCATGCTGGGAGAATTCTCAGCTTTACATGCCCGTTACCCTTTCCTCTGCATGAACCTGAAAGCCAAGCCCCCACTGCGATCCTGGAGGATCGAATTATCAAGAATCTAGATATCACACATGTAGTCAACACCACTGCCGACAGTCCTAATGCTATTTTAATCACTATGCTACTAGAACCTGGTGGAGGCACTGCCACTGACATCCAGCTTCATTAACACTGCACTTAAGTCTGAGCCTGGTCCACTGCAGTTTCAAAGAAAAAAGGGAATGCACAGCCCCCAATGTGAACTTCCTGCGTCAGATACTGACTTATGAGGAGCAGCTGTTTGGGCGCAGACTTACCGACTTGGACGACATCTGTTGATGACTGCGGGGAAAATGGGAACGGAAAGCAGTATACTTTTTTTTCTTCTTAAGTGGAGACTGAGAAGCTGCAGGGAAAACACTCGATCTCGGTTCACTATCCAAGTCCTCACTCTAAGCTGTCATATTTCAGATTATACAGATGTTGAATTTGTAACCTCTGTAAGCCTCAGTATAACACTTATGACATTTTGCTTGGTGACAGTTGATAGAACATGTACATTAATAAGGAAATTTTATTTAACTTTACATAAGAAAGGTTTATTATCTTCAGTTTCACTCAGTGATGTAATGATGTGCTGATACTGAGATACTACCTGTTTTGCAGCGTTGCTCATGTGGATATCTAAGATGACAAAGGCTTGCAAATAGGCAGTGTTTATCACAGACATATACAGTCTGTAGTGTTTACACTGGGCATTTCAGTTGAGACATAATGCAGTTAACAATTTGCCCCTCTGCGCGCACACACACACACACACACACACACACACACACACACACACACACACACACACGTAGCTCCACCCTGTTGAATTCAGCTGAATGCAGAAGGAATTCACTCCCTACCATCCCACACTTTTTTTTTTCTTTTTGTGAAGCTAGTAAGAATAATTTTTCTGGAATGTGGGAGGAAGATGATGAAAAATGTCTGTTCGTTCAATGTAAACGTTACAAAACTACACAAAACATCTGTTGAATGGAGATGATGGGCCCGGAGTGCAGATGCATACATGCAAAGTTGAGCACATAGGTTTTAGCGAAAGAGGAGAAAGAAAATATCTATCGGCAGTCTTTTAACACGTGGCATGTGACCTCACTGGAACGATTTCCACATTAAACACCAAAATACTCATCTTCGGTCGTGTCGGTACGGGTCAACACTATTACAGG